ACTGCATACAACTCTTTAGCTGGGACCAAGTGTTAGATTAGCTTGCAATTGTCTGCTACATTGTTAGTAAAAGTTTTCTTCTAAGAATGGCTTTTTAAATGATCAAGCAACATTGCAAGAAAAGCAGGCAGAAAGGGAGGCCCACGTATGTGCTATCCGTGGGGAAAGGCATTGTCTGTATTTTGCACATGGCCTTTATGGCCTCAAGCAAATTCTCCACGTAAGTTTAAGAAGTATTTGATTGAACCTTTGCCCAAGGGCCAGATTGGTTTCGTGTGCACATTTAGAAAAAAAGATTTCCAGACTCCTTTGAAGACTGGGCATCAGTCAGACAAGAGAGAGATGCATATGTACCAATGCTACCAATGCGAAAGCATTCATAACATTATGGTGTTTAATATTGTCTTATTTTAAGGCAAAATTTTTCAATTTCACGGCTTGGCTCAGTCAGCTGATTCTATTCTATTCTATTCTATTCTATTCTATTCTATTCTATTCCTCTTATGTTTGAGTGCTCTGTGACAGGAACTTCTCTTTGCAATTTGGTCAGTGCCAAAACATAAATTTTAGGACTTCGTATTTGTGCATTTTGTCATAAATAACAGTCATTTCAGACACTGCAGTTTTTAATTTTTTGACCGGGCTTTCTGGTCTCTTAGCACCTGTGAACCATTGCTTCAGTTTCCCACTCTAGCCCAAATGCATTTCAGATGGAATTGCTTTGATGTGAATTACTATCACCATAAATTGGTCGCTGCTATTTTTACTTAACAGCATCCTTGATTAATGCTTGGTAGGTTGGATATAGGTCATTGGACAGCCCATCCTACAGATGCCCTGTGCCTCTTCAGACTTTAAATTTAAATGGCATTTAGTAATGTTTTTGTTTCCTTTTAAAGAACACTTGAGCTCTGGTATCATTACAGGGTTTCTGTGGGACATTGAAAAGCATTAAATATCATTAAATGATTTTTGTGAAAATTTAGGCCTCAAAAGGTATTAAAAGTCATTAAATTTTATTCCTACAGGCATTACATTTTTTAGGTGGTTTTGAATTAAAATAATATTACTAGTTTATTTTAGTTGAGCAGTTGAGCAAGGATGGCGAGAATGATTCTGATTTTATTACAATCAGTGTAAATGACGATCGATATTGAATAATGTACTGACAGTAACAAGGTCGCACCAGTTGAGGCTCGTGCAGCCTGTCTGTGTAAGAGAGACGCTCGTGGAGAAATCACAACAAATGAGCACAACTGCACAGACAAAGAAACTCACAGAAGAAACATACTGCGGTAAAAATTGAGTTTTCACATTTAAAACATATGATAAAACCTAGTTAAGCAACATGAGACGACGAAAAGAGTGCTGGTTCCCGAACATCAGCACGATTGCAGATTTGACATTGAATTTTTTTTCATTCAGTAAATAAGTAGTTAATATTAAGTGACTCAAATTTTTTTAAAATAAAATAAATGTTTAAAACGGTTCCAAAAAAAGATCCCAGCAGAACAGTTGCGCATCTCAGTTGATTCAGAATGTCTAACATTCTACATCTATTGGTACTTTGTTATATCAATTTTGAAATATCTGCAAATGTATTTTGACATTTTAAGCTGCTACATTTTAAGTCTGCTGATCTATTTCTAATTCAGTTTAGAGTGATACAGTTTATTTAAATTATGTAGATTTTTTAAATATCCAAGATTATCATCATTGCATCATTGTCAAATCGAATGGTTAATTTAAAACATATAGGCCTGGTTTCACAGACAGGGCTTAGGTTAAGCCAGGATTAAGCCATAGTTCAATTAGGACATTTAAGTAGCTTTTATGAATGTGCCTTAGATAAAAACACTACCGATGTGCATCTTGAGATAAATGCCACTGTCAGATTTTAAGATCAGTCAGTAAAAGTTTCTTTCAGATAAAGGGGTCCTAGTATGCTCTTTTACAAAGTCTTGATTTTGTTTTGGGGGTGTACTAGAACAGGCTCTGTTTAGACACGTAATACTGCACGCTGAACAGTGCGGGAAACTTCAGACGTAGGGCTGGGTATCGTGTTCGATACTTTTTAGGCACCGACCGAATTGCCTCGATACCATCGAGTATCGAAAAACGTCTCGTCGTTCGGTACCAAATTTCGATACCTAAGGGGTTAATCTCATCACCGTCAGTGAGCCAAGAAAGGCTCAGGTATACTTCACTTTCCGCGTTCCGTTCCGTCTCGTGCTCAGCCGTGTCCGCACAGCTTTCAAAGTATACTCAACCGCGGATGAGTGCAGACGGACGAGCTCAACACAGGCGCAGTTTGACTTGCGCTCTGTCTCAACTTTCACCTCGCGCATGCACTGTTGAACGCGGACCGTCCGAAGTATACTTTGGCCTTAAGCCTGCAGCACTAGCCAGTGTGTTCGACTACTGTGTGCTTCATTTATAGAGCTATATTATAGGTCGCGCTTTCTCTTTCCGTTTGCTCCGTTTTTTTAAACACCGAACTTCAAACTCATCCATGCCAAATTGTTCATTCTTGAAGTAAACTTGTGTCCATTTGGTGATTAAATAAACTGTTTTAGACCACTGCTCGAGTTGAACGCGACGCGTCCGGAGTGTGTGTGATACCGGTGAGTTCTCCTAGACTCAGCGCTGCGCTTTTATTTTGATTAGATAATCATCAAGTGTTCAAGAATAGAAGCAGTTAAAGTGTGAGAGTATGCATACAATATCCATATGTATATAATTTTAATGATATAGCCTTTGTGTATATATTTAAAGATGTGCATCTTTAAGCATGACAGTTGAAATGAAATGGTAACACTTTAAAATAAGAGTCCATTTGTAGCATTAAGATTAATGAAAGCTGTGTAAGTATTGTTCCTTGTTAGAGTGTGTTAATTTCAACATTTACTATTACTATTATTATTATTTTTTTTACTACTACTACTACTAGTGGTTCAGTACTGTTTTTGTTAATAAAGCACTATTTTAGTTTTTGTTCAGTATCAATTTTAAAACTATCGGTTAATTAATCGGTATCGGCCAGTGTGGTCCAACCTAGCTATCGGTATTGGCAAAATCCACTATCGGTCGACCTCTAGTCTTAATGTCTCTTTCCATTGAATGGTTCATTTGATGGTCAAATAAAATCAGGTTGCTGATGTTACTTATTATGAATACTATAATTGAATTTAATACTCAAAATTTAACACACATCCCATGCGATTTATAAACTAAGAAAATGTAAAGGATAAATGCCAGTTGTGTACCTTTCTCAGGCTCATGCTGCTCTAATTGGTGGCCATAGCCAGACAACTAAACTCGTTTCCAGCAAGTTGCTACCCACCATTCACAGCCTGTCTGAGAGTGCCAAGAAGTACCATTCAGCAACCAAATAAACAGAGCAGTGGCTGAGCTCATTTGCATTGTCCAAATACCAATATATACAGTGGAAAGATTTGTATTGAAGCAACTGCTACAGAATCTCAATAGCTTTTTCGTGAACACTGAAAAGCCAAAAACGTACAGAGAAACTAGAAATATTAAAAGCAGAACTTGATAAGGGACTTGATATTATGCTTGTAGAACAGATTTCAAGCCAAGGCCAGCAGAACAGTGCAGTCCTACAAGCTGTATCTGCTCAGTTGATAACAAAGAATTGACAGATGCAGTCAGGGTGCCTGGGTGATGCAGAACGTAATAGTGACCACTAGGCTTGCCGCGATAGACGGTGTTGATGGTGATACCGGTGTTAAGCCACAACACCGGTTACGTCACTTGCCCACTGGGTCACCGACCCCCACTGTCATTTTGATTTTTTATAGTAATAAAAATCATTTAGTTCAGTAAAAGAACAGACACTACAATTAAAAACTGAATGCGGCTGCTCAATGCAGCGTGCCGAACGACAGTCGCATCACACAGATCAGATTTCATTTATCCAGTGAGTAGAGAGTCGAGCTGACTGACAAGAAGAGTGGGGTGAGGTGAGACAGACAAATTGCTTTTCTCCGAATTGCCGCTATTTGTAAGTGAAAGTAAAACGGGCACACCGCTTTTACAAGCTATTTAAAAGCGAAGGAAAGCGAGGAAAAGAGGGGAACGCCCTGCCCCTGCGGTGATACCGGTATTACCGGTGTTGTCACACGACGATTAATCGGTGGGAAAATTTCCTCACCGTCACAACCCTAGTGACCACACAGAAGAGAGCCTGAGGGAGGCCTGTAATGAGATGTGATGTATACGGCAATGAGACCCCATATGCCAGACGCCACATGGCTTTTCTAACATAGTAAACTTTCTCTGTAGCTCACCTGGTACAGCATTGCACTTGTGATGTGGAGTGCTCTGATACGAGTCCTGAAACACAAGTCACAATAAAAGAGATCAATTACTGGTAGAAGCAAGCAAAAATGGCTTGGTTGCATCAGCGAAATTTTCAAGATTGCTTTTGTTAACGTTGTCAGTTAGGTTTAGAGTAGGGTGTAGTATAGGCGATAAGATATTGTAAACCACGATAGAGCATTAACCTTATAGCACCACTCATTGGACATTTCATTTCCCAACTGCCGCTATACACTACGTACAAAAAGCTATGTAATAAAATATTGCCAAATTCACGTTTGTCTGTTCTTGATTAAACTGAATGGACATTTAAATACTGACACATTTCACATCAGCACCTGGTAGCGGTCTGGAGATATGTGATGGTTTTCAACTTAAAAGGTGAACGGTTTGAGTTTTACTTAGTAGAATATTTTAGTTAGTAGGTGGTTTAATTTTGAATTGAGAACAGCAGTTACATCTGTGAGGGTCAGACATTTGTGTATTATGTTGAAGTTCTTTGTAAAGATAACAGCCAATTGGCGAGTAGCTGTTAAATGTGCACACGGCGCATTTGGTCCTGGTTTGATAAAAGGACTTTTTAAGTTGAAAGCCTTTTACTGTACTCATTCTGTCTTGCTTTACTGACAGACAATCTGACTTTTGTTTGTGACATTTAGACATCATTCTATAGGAGGTATCTGTTGCTCAAGATGGCGGCTGGTCTGGTTTAATCGAGGACGGGTCAGGTAATTCTCACTGATGCTATCATATGTCATTACCAAAAGCCTTTGCCACATTCTGGGCTTTTGATCTCTCTCTTTCACCCTTGCTTCAGTCTCCACCTCTATTTTCTCTTACACTGTATGCTGGTCCCAAGAGAGCTCAGTTTAAGTTGGTCAGACTGGGCTGGTGGGCCTCTAGGTTGAGGTTAATGAAGAGGTGAAGTGAAAAGTCCCTGCTGTGTTATCGTGGCCCTCCCTGCTCTGGTAAGGAGATTTTCCCCCTATGTTGGGGTTAATGCCTAGGGTGAGATATCATGTCATATATCAAAATACATCATAATTCATATGGTCATCATAGAAGAGGTATATAGATGTCATTTTACAGTATGTATGTATGTATAAATAGCATTTTTAATGTCTCTTTTTTTATGTCATGTCATTGACCCACAGGCAATGTGTGAAGTCCAACATGGTCAAGGTTTAGGGCTTACTCCTGAGTTCAGAGAGCTGTAGCTAGTTATTGGCTCAGGGGACCTGTAAAGCAAGACTTTTGGAGTCTTATGGCCCTCATAACTGTGCTCATATGTTAGCTTTTCTTTGCTCCCTCACCCTCTTTTTTTCCATCACACATCTCGCTGAAGTGGCTTTAACCTCCTGCTTAAAAACAAAGACGTTTTGTGAGTGTGTTCCACAGACCGTCACTGTTTTTCTTTTGTACACTCACTGGTGTCGATTCTGCTCTGGACAAAGGCTCCTCACTGGTGTGGGATGGCACACAGGCCGCCACTCGGTGTTACTGGCACAGCAAACAGCTTGGGCGATGCGGGCAGAGCCTGATATCACAGTGTTTTACTTGACCATATAGTACACTGTGTACACACATAACTGAAGCCAGATCTGTGTCATCAACATTCCTTGTGTATTATTTATTTATTAAAAAAAAAAAAATGTTTGTGGTAATCTTTTCTAATCTTTAAAAACATAAATCATTTAATAACACTGTTGAATGCAATCTTTAGCGAATGCCAAAATCAACAACCACCTTTTTCCCCCAAATTTTACATTATAATGATGTGATGGCTAAATGCACTTTTAGCACTTAAAATTGCTCATTTAAAATGACTCAAAGTGAGTACTCATGTGTTATTTTTTAGATAAAATTGAAAAAAGAAAAATAATAACAACCACCATTTGACGGTTATCAGACATGGCACTTATCAACTTATATACTTGTATACTTATCAGCTTATCGAAATTGGCCAGAATTGTAATACTGCTGCATTCCTAACAACTTATTTAGTTGCGCTACAAAATAAAATATATGTATTATATAAAATAAATATACATATTATATAAAGTATTACTTTTAAAAGTAATGCTACCCACCCAACCATTGGAAGGACCCTATTAAATCATGCCACCTTAATAGAGACATTAATCATGTTGTAAATCACCGTTTGTGGAACTGAGCTTTTTGTAGAACACACAGAGAGAAAATGCGTCTTTGAAAGTCTGACAGCTTTTCAGAGCACAGCGTTTCTTTCTATAGGCCGAGAGAGACCTGAAGAATCTTCTGCATTCTAGTCCGTGAATGTTAATGAGGTGAGGACTGATTTTTTTCCTCCTAAGATGTTTGGTTTTGGTAACAAAGCTGGGACGGGGCGCATTTCCCTTGTATTTGTCACCCTCTTTCTCTGTCACTCATGCTCTGGGTGTCTTTCGCACATTCTCACTGTGTGCCAGTTCACTGCATGTGACTGAGCTGTCACATGGAGCAGCAGAGAGCAGGCGCGTAGACATAAGTATAGTGTGATGTACTGTCCCACTCACATAGATGTACACTCTTTTACAGATAAATTTATGGAGGTGCAAGGAGCCTGTCAATGCAATCAAGATGTATTGTCAGTGGTGTTAAAAAAAGCTCCTGGTGGTCTGCAGTTTTAGCCAGTTGGGTGTCACGACTAGCTGTGTGTTTCTGATGGGATTCTGGGTGGTTGGACTGTACATTTTGAAAATAATATGTTGTGACTGGAATAAATTAGTGCTTTTTCTCTGTCCTTATTCGTTATCTTCTCTTTCTGCTTACTTGTTGTGTTTCTATCTGCATATAGTATGGAACACTTTCTGGAAGTGATAGGTGAGAACTTTGGCATGGGAGAATGCCTGGTGCCATCTGGTTTCTTGAATTTTTTTTTCAGTCATGTTGGAGGATAGTAACAAATCATGTTAAAAGAAGAGATGTTACATACTAGCCACCAAGGATGATGATGTCAGCTGTTCAGCTCCAATGAAGAATGCAAGAAACACAAGATTTGTGCTGCATCACTGAACACATCCCAAGAACAAGAGTTAAATGAAGAAGCAAGTAAAATGTCAGATTGGATGGATTAACGCTCATCATTCAGGCATCTAAAGGACAGTCCAAATGACTTAAAGAAATATATCACACAAAAATGAAAGTGACCAAAGTGACAAAAAGTGACAGTAAAGTCGCATATAATATGACAAGAGATTTCCAATTCAAATAAATGTTTTTCTTCTGAATTTTGTTTATCAAACATTCCTAAAAAAAAGTGCCATGATAGTATATTAGTAAGAAATGTTTCTTGAGCAGAATTAGAATGATTTCTGAAGGATCATGTGACACTGCAGACTGGAGAAATGGCTTCTAATAAATTCAGCTTTGCTATAACACAAATAAATTACACTTAAATATATTAAAATAGAAAACAGTTATTTTAGATTGCAATAATATCTCACTGTGTTTTTGATCAAATAAATGCTGTCTTGTTGAGACTTCTTTCAGCACCATTTGAAAAACCTTTTTCAAACGGTAGTATGTATTGTGCATTCATATATTCATTTGTCATTATTAATTCCTCTTGATTTTACAATGTATAGCTGTATCGAAGCGTGATGTTCTGACTTTTGACCCAGGAATATCCTGGAATATATTGCTTTTTATATAGCGTATATTTATATAGTGTATATATTTATATAGAATGTAGTTGAGAAATATTGTGGTTTTGGCACAATACTGAGAGAGTAAAGACAGAATTTTCATTTTTATTTTTGATGAACTATCCCTTTAAACTTGCTGTTGGCTGTCACACTCCAACCCTGGAATGCAAGCAGTGGGATCTGAATGCCAGTCAGCTCTGAAAAGTGTCCCCATGACTGAACCTACACACTTGCATTCACACAAACAAGTATCCTATAGTGTTGTGTGCATATGTGTCTCTGTTGTCCATGGAACAGTCAACAGATACTCCCTCTGGAGTTCTGTTGGATCGTCTAGTGCACGTATGTTTACAGTATGTGCTGGTTTGCGTGTAAGAGTGTTCATTTGTTTTCATGGACCCAACGGATTGAAAATAACATCAGTGTTTACAGTGTCAATAGCACTATGGCCTTTAGTTTCCTAATACCACTACTTATCAATTTCAAATCCTGTATCAAGGTGAATATATGTTGAAGAAAATATGGTCAAAGTGATCTCAGAGAAGACAGAATTGTGCCAGTAACTTAAGACCTCCAGTTGACTTTAATGACTGTTGTAATTATATAACAGTGAGATGGCCTCTATCTCTGGGTCTTTCCCTCCTGCAGGCTTTTTTCCTCCTTTTTGTGTGCTCACTCTGCTGGTCCCTTTCATTGACTCCATTTGTACCTCGCTGTAATCGCTCTATAGAGTTTGGCTTGTCCTTCCTACCTTGTCTTCCTTTCTTTGTCAATCATCTTTCCCTGCTCTTTCTATTCATGTCTGTACTGGTTAGTGGATTTCGTCGTTCCACTCCATATGGTGGCTCTATGATGGTCACATGACCTTGTTCGCTCTCATTAGATACGGATGTGTGAATGAGCATAGATTTTTATTGGGTGCTGTGATGCTTCCCAGAGGCGAGTCGTGAAAGCATCCCATCTAATACTGTGGCCTAGTGAAGCAGGGTTAATGCACTCAGGGTGACAGCGTTTGATGTGTTTTTTTTTTCCTTCAACAAGCAAGATGATACAGGGCCAGGGACGTCTGCTGAGGAAATCGCTGGTGTTGTCACAATCTCTGATGTGAATTGAGTTGTTTACATCAGTGTTTGTCCTCATTACAGTGGTGGGAAGATGATTAGGCTTGATGCAGCGGCTTGAGTGAGGGGTGTGATGAAGACTGGTCGCTCAAGGTGCTACAGGCATCCCAGTGGACAGAGGTTAAAATGTTTGGACAGGGAGGACAGACTTTAAGCATCCCCTGGTAGTGACTAGCCTCATCAAAAAATAGCATGACAACCAGAGTAGATACTGCAACTGTTATATTCATTGAAACTTTCTGTTCCTGTTTTCTTTTCCTTTGACCAATTAAGGGGTGTCCAGTCCTCCTCCTGGAGGGCCACCTTCCATCAGAGTTTAGCTCGAACCGTTATTGAACACACCTAAACCAGCTAATTAAGGTCTGCAGGATTACCAGAAACTTCCAGGCTGGTATATTTGAGCTAATCTTTGCAGGAAATTGGCCATCATAGGCGCATTACCAAAGCAAAAGTTGTTCCAAAAGGTCAATACATTAATCCTGCTGCTTCCATAGAAACCTAATTGCATAAATTTTGAGATAGCATTGAATGTATCCTTCCCTGGAAAGGCAATTTCAGAACACACTGTGATGATCTCTGTGTAAGTAGCGCAAGGCACTATTTGAGTTGCTGTCTATGGAGAATGTTCCAAATTGGACACTTATAAGGCTCTGTTTCACTTATGATGCTGGCATAGAGGGCAGATGCTTTTGTACCACAGTTTAGTAAACGTTGGCCACCTCTGTTATTATTGACTGTGCTGTATTGACTGCTTTGATGTATTGCAAAGCAGTACATCAAATATACCAGCCTGGAAGTTTCTGTTATTATTGACTGTGCTGTATTGACTGCTTTGATGTATTGCAAAGCAGTACATCAAATATACCAGCCTGGAAGTTTCTGTTATTATTGACTGTGCTGTATTGACTGCTTTGATGTATTGCAATATGGTAGGGCATTGTTTTGATGCTGACATCCGAAAAAGATTTTTCGGTAACACTTTCTATGAAGCCCGTATTTATAATACATTATAAGGGTATTCTTAAGGCATTATAATGAATGCATAATGCATTATAAAAAAACATATAATATGTTATATCAACTCATGAATAATCATAACAACAGTTATAACACATCATAATACTTACGTATTTGTGGTTATAAGTTTAAGAGTATGATTATTTATAACACACAATGAACACCATATTAAATCTACTTCATTTACAGAATAATGGACTGTATCATATCTTGACATTGTTTATCTAAGATCTGCACAATATCTTACTACAGCTTGTGAGTGGTTAGATGTTGAGTGTTATTTGAGTGTTACCTGTGGAGCTAATGTTAATTAATTGATGTGAGCTTTATACTCCAACTTAAAAAAATGCAATGTTTTATATGGTTACATTTTATTTTGATGGTCCCCTTAATCAATCGACTATAAGCAACTTTGCAACTACATGCCAACTAACTCTCATTAGAGTATTAGTATGCTCAAGAATGGTAGAATCTAGTAGGGTAGAATAAGTTGACGTAAGTTGATGCTCCGATCCGCCTTTTTTGCCTCCGATACCGATTCCGATACCTAGGGTTCAGTATTGGCCGATACCGATTCCGATCCGATACCAGTGAAGTTTTTTTCCCTCATTTAAATAAATGTAGAATTTATATATCTCTGTGTGTGGAATTGATAATCATTCTTTCACAATCTACTAGATACAGACTACTTCATTATAAAGAAAAATAAAATAAACAATTATTATTATTATTATTATTATTATTACTACTTATAAGTGGTCTTTGACCGCTTTAAGTAAAGTAGCATAAGAAAAATGGCAAGATATGAGACTTATAATACATTATAAATATGAGAAATATAATCCATTGTAAAAGTGGATGCACCGTGTTCATTGTGTTATAAATCATCATACTCTTAAAAGCTATAACCACAAATAAGTAAATATTATAATATATTAAAACTGTTCTTATGAATATTCATGAGATGATACAACATATTATAAGGTTTTTTATAATGCATTATGCATTCATTATAATGCCTTAAGAATACCCTTATAATGTATTATAAATATGGGCTTCATAGAAAGTGTTACCGATTTTTCTTTTTTCCTTTTTTTTTTTTCTTGCCCCCTTGACTCAAGAGTTAAATGTCGCCCATGTATCTATCCGTTCTCCTGCTGCTTATCCAGGACTGGGTCACTGTGGCAGCAGGCTTAGTAGGGTCACCCACATGTCCTTTTCCCTGGAAACTTCCTCCTGGGGTGTCCCAAGGTGTTCCCAGGCCAGCCTTGGTTTAACTTTGGGGCTCTTCCCAGTTGGGCATGTCTGGAACACCTCCACCGAAAGGTGTCTGAACTACCTCAACTTGCTCCTTTTGACACAGAGAAGCAGAGTCTCTCCAAGATGTCCAAGCTCCATACCTGTCTCTAAGGGTTAGACCAGACACTCTGTGGCGAAAACTCATTTCAGTCTATCTTGTTCTTTCAGTCACTACCCAAAGCTCATGACCATAAGTGAGGTAACCATGGGTGAAGATCGATTGGCAAATTGACAGCTTCTCATAACAACATGCTAACTTCAAGCTCTGCAAAGACCTGCCCCCCTTAGTTACTGTTGCTATGTCCGACAAGCCATGTCACTCTCACGCCACACATCATGTTTTCATGTGAAAAATATATCGTAGAGCAAAGAGGAAACTAACCAAATGTCAACAGACAAGACAGAGCAGGTTACTTTAGGTATGAAACAAAGTCTCAACTTTCAAATTTTGTCATTTTTTAAAAAGAAATTCAAACAATAAATACCGTTTTGTGGCTCTTTAACGTGTCGTGACCGATCACTGTTCAAGCGGCACGTGAACCAATCATCTCTTCCTCTTTACTAGTTATAGCATGAAATAAACATGAATGAACATCAGAAGATATCATAAAGACGTCAGTACACACCATTTTTCAATTTCAAGTCCACCAGTATTAATCTACTCTGCTGTCTGGTTTGTTTGTCGGACAAAATGGTGGATTCGGCGTTATAATTGGTCAGATCGCCTGTCAATCAAGTTCCCGGTGAAGGGTCAATTCAGATGGCTACTTTTTGGAACTTCATTTGCATGATTCCTTAAAATGCTACCTACAATGGCATTTTAAAGCAGGTCAAATCCTAGTTTAGATCCTTCCTTTAATCTTGGTCTGGGTCTTAATCTTAATAATCTTAAATAATCTTAATGATTATTTTCGACCACAGCTCAGATTTAAGCCCACTTAGTCTTTCCTGTGCTCACAATGGTACGGTATATTTAAAGCAGACATTGTAACTGGATAAATTAGAAGCTTTGTCTGTTTCTTGTACATAAGCTAAACAAGGAT